GCAGTACAAGGCTAAATAGGGCCCTGGGATGAGGCACCTGTGACAGGGAGGGGTGCAAAACCAGGGAATTGGCTAGACTCCCAAATATATATAAAACAAGAAGGGGTTGGCTGCACTCACCTTAACATGCATAAATGGGGGTGCTGCTGGGGGCCAAATAATACAATACACAAGATCCAGCGCACTCACCTATCCACTAAACAGCAACTTCAATGTTGAAAGATTTTATTTGTTGTTTTTTTAAAACACCTAATCTAGGCAAAAATAATGGGGGTTTAGTTACATTATATGATCATACATTGCATAAGCCTGCCACAGCGTCAATGTACCCCATCTTTGGCAGGTCCTACACTAACAGCCTAATGTCTGCTCTTATGAGATTAACCTACTTGGGGGAAAAAAATTCCATCTGGGGCTCTCTGCAGTACAAGGCTAAATAGGGCCCTGGGATGAGACACCTGTGACAGGGAGGGGTGCAAAACCAAGGAGTTGGCTAGACTCCCAAATATATATAAAACAAGAGGGGGTTGGCTGCACTCACCTTAACATGCACAAATGGAGGTGCTGCTGGGGGCCAAACAATACAATACACAAGATCCAGCGCACTCACCTATCCACTAAACAGCAACTTCAATGTTGAAAGATTTTATTTGTTTTTTTTAAAAACAACTAATCTAGGCAAAAATAATGGGGGCCCTATTTAGCCTTGTACTGCAGAGAGCCCCAGATGGAATTTTTTTCCCCAAGTAGGTTAATCTCATAAGAGCAGACATTAGGCTTTTAGTGTAGGACCTGCCAAAGATGGGGTACATTGACGTTGTGGCAGGCTTATGCAATGTATGATCATATAATGTAACTAAACCCCATTATTTTTGCCTAGATTAGGTGTTTTAAAAAAACCAAAATCTTTCAACATTGAAGTTGCTGTTTAGTGGATAGGTGAGTGCGCTGGATCTTGTGTATTGTATTATTTGGCCCCCAGCAGCACCCCCATTTATGCATGTTAAGGTGAGTGCAGCCAACCCCTTCTTGTTTTATATATATTTGGGAGTCTAGCCAACTCCTTGGTTTTGCACCCCTCCCTGTCACAGGTGCCTCATCCCAGGGCCCTATTTAGCCTTGTACTGCAGAGAGCCCCAGGTGGAATTTTTTTCCCCAAGTAGGTTAATCTCATAAGAGCAGACATTAGGCTGTTAGTGTAGGACCTGCCAAAGATGGGGTACATTGACGTTGTGGCAGGCTTATGCAATGTATGATCATATAATGTAATTAAACCCCCATTATTTTTGCCTAGATTAGGTGTTTTAAAAAAAAAACAAATAAAATCTTTCAACATTGAAGTTGCTGTTTAGTGGATAGGTGAGTGCGCTGGATCTTGTGTATTGTATTATTTGGCCCCCAGCAGCACCCCCATTTATGCATGTTAAGGTGAGTGCAGCCAACCCCCTCTTGTTTTATATATATATATATATATCTATATATATATATATATATTTGTTAAATATGTGTGTGGCACAATTTTTAGCACTCCAATGAGAAAAATATATGAGAAAAATATTCCCATTGATACTTTACATTTTTAGTACACCTGGGTGTCTAGAAACGGAGATTGTTCTACACAGGGATATAAATATGCGTTAACACATAGGCCACATTTCCTTAGTTATTCATCACATTGGGTAATACAAAGGAATACAACTGGGACATGTGGCAAAAAGTTGTTGTGCTTCAAAAGGTTTGAAAATGTCCATTTACACCATCATGGCAATAATTAAGAAATTCCAGTCTACTGGAAATCCCCTGACGAAGGTGCAACTATATGCACCGAAACGCGCGTCGGGTTTTCTATTAGGTCACTTTATTTAAGATGGGAGCACTAGGTGTTTAGCACCTTTTCACTACTTTGTTATTTACTTTTGCTTGGAGTGTTCTATCTTTTATTTTTCAACTAGTGATATACTGATAGGCTTTATCTTTAGCCTTGAGGGACAGTTTAGAACACCCATGAAGGTGTTGGTTTAAGCTACCTAGGGTATAATAGCTCAGTGGCTTTCTTCCTTTATTCCCTAAGCTGAAGCCAGGCATTTGAGTAGAACCTTTCTGTTCAAGGAGGCTTTACCATTATTTTTTATTATTTTTTAGCCTCTAGGGATAGTTTACAATACCTACCAAGGTGTTATTTTTCAATTACTTTGGGCTAACTAGCTTAGTGGCTTTTTCTCTTTATTCACTAATTTGAAGCTAGGTATCTAAGGTGAACCTGCGTTTCATAATGGGAATTAATATATGATTAGGTGAATAACAGACTACACTTTTCTATCCTGTCCTTCATACATATATATGTTCTAATTCACTGCCCCAATTTATTGCCTTTCAAGTATTTGGATCTGTTGATTGACGTGTTGAGCCATTTATCCTCTAATAGGGATCAGACTCCCTTTTCTAAATACAGACCAGCCACTTTCAAAACTGATTTGGCAGTGTAGCTACATATATAGATGATCAGTATACCCTTTGTTATCCAACCACTATTTCAGTTATATAGCGCCTTTAAGTGTTCAATAAATTCATTACTCTTGTTCCTTTTTCCTTTTTAACTTTATAAGGCTCTTTGAGGAAATATATAATTGTTGGGTTAATCACTATCCTCTATTTGTGTACATTCCAAGCATAGCTTTCAGATTTACTATTATCACTTGTTAGTTTGCTTACTATGGACTGTGTATCAAACCAGGTTTAGAGTCACTTTAATTTAGAGACTCTTAGGAATCATTTTATTAAATGTTGTGAATCAACCTGGAAGAGGAAGTGTCTTATTGTCTCAACAAACGGTGAAAAGGATGGTTCGAGTGGCCAAAAAATCTCCAAGAATCACAGCTAGAGAATCACAGAAATTAGTTGCGTTTTGGAGTTAGAAAGTCTCCAAAACTACAATCTGACGTCACCTACATCCCCACACGTTGTTTGGAAGGGTTTCAAGAAAAAAGATTCTATACACATCCGTAAACAAACTCAAGCATCTGCAGTTTTGCAAAATTGCAACTCGAGTCAGTTTCCATTGTTAGATGAAACCAAAATGGAGCTTTTTTCAATAAAAAGCAAAGATGGGTTTGGTGCACACAGAGAGGTAGCCAAATGGAAAAGTAACTCATGCCCACGGTGAAATATAGTGGTAGTTCTTTAAGGTTTTGGGGTTGTTATTGTAGACATTTTGTTTGGATACATGGCACTATGGATTCTATTAATAAACAACAGATATTAAATGAACACATGGATTCCATTGCCAGAAAGCTTAAAATGGGCTGTGGTTGGATCTTCCAGCAGGACAATGATCCAAACCATGTATCAAAATCAACACAAATTTGGTTTTCAGGCCACAAAATCAAGATCCTGCCATAGCCATACCAGTCCCCTGACTTGAACCCCATAGAAAACCTGTAGGGTGAACTAAAGATTAGAGTCCACCAGCATTGACTTCAAAAGTTGAAAGATCTGGAGAGATTGTGTTTGAAGGAATGGCCTCAGATCCATTATTCTCCAACCTCATCAATTAGAATTAGAAGATTCAGAGCTGTTATCTTGGCAAAGGCAGGTAGCACAATGTATTGACTAAAAGGGTGCTAATAATTGTGCCACACATATATTTAACCTCTTAAAGACGGCATGCATGCTATGCTGTCCTTAAGGAGGAGGTCCTAAATGAGTCATACCACGTCCTCTCTGTCTTTACTAGTTACCTGACCGCTGCCATTCTCCTCCTGGCGAGTGCACTGGGTGGACTTGCCTGACAACCCCGTCAGTCCCCTTGCGCCTGAACTGACCATTCCAGGTTAGGCGATCACGATGACATGGCCAGAATAGCAGGCCAAACCTGCCAATAAAGTTTTAAATAAATAATCCCACACTTTATTAATCAAAGAACTACTTAGATAATACTTGTATATGTATATATATATATATATATATATATATATATATACACACACACGCATACACACTTTCATTCTCAGTGCACATATATATATATATATATATATATATATAAATGACTTGATGTAGAGCACTCACAGGACTCCAGAATATTTCAAAAGTGCTTTTTATTTCAGCATTCAATGTTCAAATACAAAGTGTCGACGTTTCAGTCCAACCGGACTTTTATCAAGGTCTTGATAAAAGTCCGGTTGGACTGAAACGTTGACACTTTGTATTTGAACATTGATTGCTGATATAAAAAAATCACTTTTGAAATATTCTGGAGTCCTGTGAGTGCTCTCCATCAAGACATTGTATACAAAGGCCGGAGATTGCACCGAGGCATAAACAAGACCGGGAGCAGTGAGTGCAGGACACTTGGAAGTTTATATATATACAGTTGCAAGAAAAAGTATGTGAACCCTTTGGAATGATATGGATTTCTGCACAAATTGGTCATAAAATGTGATCTGATCATCATCTGCACTGTGAATGTTTACATGGTGTGTTCAATAAAAACATGGCAACATTTCATTCTTTGTGTGTTATTAGTTTAAGCAGACTGTGATTGTCTATTGTTGTGACTTAGATGGTGATCAGATCACATTTTATGACGAATTTGTGCAGAAATCCATATCATTCCAAAGGGTTCACATACTTTTTCTTGCGACTGTATATATATATATATATATATATAAATTCTACGTGTATATTTATGTTATCTTTTTAAATACTTAAGTCACGTTATTAATTTCAATT